AGTATATGGCTTCATGAGCCAAGGCAAGAGAGGAAAGGGGAAAGGCTGCGTTGGGGAAAGGCTGCGTCCCCTACCATGCAGATGGGCATGTCCATGTCCCCACCCCTGATGGTGCAGTTGGGGAAAAAAGTTCCATTGTACAGATTGTGGAACATGCTAGAGTTCCAACAGGCATGTGCATCATGCACCTTCCCCAACCAAGTATATGGCTTCATGAGCCAAGGCAAGAGAGGAAAGGGGAAAGGCTGCGTTGGGGAAAGGCTGCGTCCCCTACCATGCAGATGGGCATGTCCATGTCCCCACCCCTGATGGTGCAGTTGGGGAAAAAAGTTCCATTGTACAGATTGTGGAACATGCTAGAGTTCCAACAGGCATGTGCATCATGCACCTTCCCCAACCACCCGCCATAGAAATCCATAACCTGGTCCCAGTGGTCTATGACGGTCTGCAGGACCATTGAAAAGTATCCCTGGCAGTTAATGAAGAGAGATGGCTGGGGGTCTGGAATATGGCTGCCGTCAAACCCTCCACCTCTCTCCCCTCCTCCATCCCCCGCAGCTGGGGAAGCCCATGACGTCAAGTCTGACAATGATGGTGTCTACATCTCCAAGGTGGATGACTGCAGAGAAGGATGGTGTTGATGGCCCTCACTGGCTGCTGAAGGAGACAAACCAACACAGATTCACAGGGGTGGCAAGGCTGGTGGGAAGTCCCTTAGCCCATCACCACTCTGTTCCTCCTCCCCCCAACACCAGGAGCAACACCCCCATTTACCCCATTCGCCACCAGGGCTTTGTGAGAGCAGGATTGAAAAAACTCCCAGGGTGGGGGTTGATACCACCACCCCCTTTCGCTAGGGAACCCCATTCCTGCAGTATTTCCATCCTTGGAACAATAGCCTGAGAATGCCATACTTGCATGAGCACGGCCCCGATGGTCAATCTCCCCATGCCAGACTGATTCTCGACAGATTGGTAGCTGTCCGGTGAGGCGAGCTTCTAGAGGGCGATGGCGACCCGTTTCTGGAGGGGGATGGTTGGTCTCATGTGAGTGTCCTGTTGCCTGAGAGGAGGGGAGAACCACTCACAGAGCTCCAGAAACATGTCCTTCCTCATCCTGAAATTCTGGAGCCATTGCTGATCTCCTCACTGCTCCATAAGAATCTGGTCCCACCTGTCAGAACTGGTATCCAGACACCAGAGGCGGTGGTGCACGGTGTGAAGTAGAGGGCAGGTGGGATCTAGCTACATGAGCCGTGCCCTCAGAGATCCAAGGAGTGTCTCCTAGAGGAGCTGGAGGTTGGTTTCCTGCAAGGCCTGGGAGGTAGCCTGCAGAAACTGCTGCATGAGGTGCAGCATAAGCTGCAATAGCCATAAACTGCCTAGAGGCAGCTCCAGCTCCATGTCTTGAAAGCTATGGTGTCTGCAAGGGCAACTGCAGCAGGCAGAAGAAAAGGCTTTGCTATCCCTCAAGAAGGTAGACAAAGACAAAAAGCCTGAGACATGGCTGTACAGGGGGACCTCTTTAAGCACGAGCCTCAGCCTCAAGCAGCAGTCACATGAAGTAACTGCTGACCTGATGTCCTGCCTGAAGTGGTTCTGAGTGGTCTTAAATGCAAATTAGTGTCCAGTCAGTGTGGATGCTCTTTTGAAATAGCTAAGCACTAGTTCAATATACTTTTGGTGTGTAGATTTCAAAATCAACTATTTTGGAAGATATTTTCTAAATAAATCTGCAATGTCGATGTAGTCCAAAGGTCTAAGTAACATTTTGTAAAAAGAGATATTGAAAATAACTTATAAAAAGCTTAGCATAACAATACTGTTTGATAAAGATGCAGTTTAAATTCTGTTCTACTAATTATAGTGGAACATCGGTAAGATTGAAAGAATCACAGGTCAAAATAAACTTATTCCCCCGTCTCGTCACCTCTTTGTCATTTGTAGTACTCGACATCAGTATGCTGTCCTCCCAGGATGTGGTGCGCATGCTCCTCTCCCTACAGCCCTTCCTCCAAGATGCCATCCAGAAGAAGCGGACAGGGAGGACCTGGGAGAACATTCAGCATGTCCAGGGACCCCTCACCTGGCAGCAGTTCCATAAGATGGCAGGCCGGGGAACATATGGTACAATTTGTTTGTGCAGCAGCACTGTTTAGATGAAGAGCATGTTTCCTTACACTTGTGCATTTGAATGTGTTCTTTGCTGGAAAGACTGTAAGAGCAAAAGTCTTTCTTGGATGATTTTTATTGTGTTTAATGTTTAAAGAATATTTTTGAGTAACATAGTAAGGGGTTTACCTTTCAAGGTGACTGACATTGGAGGTGGCTTTGAACACTCCTAACTGTGGGATGGGTTCAAAATCCCTGTGTGGATTTGATTTTGGTTTGAACCCATAGCTAGAACAATGAATAATGAGAAGCATAGAAGCTATTAAATAAAATTAGAGCCCTGGTTATAAGATTTAAAATCTGTTTTAAAATGCCATATTGCTGAGATGTTCGTAATTAAATACATCCTGATTACAAGTGATGCTTCTAATTAGAAATATATTTGACAGAATACATGCTAAGTGAGAGCAAACTAATGACTGACCTTTAAACATCGTTTTTAACCCTTCTTGCATTTATCTGCATTTTATATGAAATTCCCTACTGATCCATTTTTGTATGTATTCTTATTCTATTTTGCCAAAGTGACTCAGTTCCTGCTTTCCCTGCTTTCCCTTTTGGCTATGTCAGGCTGCAGGAACTACCATTACATTCCAATGTCACTGCCACATGACAAGTACAACTAGCCTTTTTTCAACTTTGTAACTACAGTGTAGCATTGAACAGTCAGGATTTGCCAACAGTGATCAGACACTGTAACTGAAATACCTACATTCCCCCTTACGTGTTAGAACAGTAGATATCTGTGGTAGGTATGTGGTAATAGTTGGTGAATGCTGACTTGTTAGTCATTTATATTTTTTTGAAAATTCCCAGGGTGTATTTGGCTTCACATTCCCCACGCTACTGCAGGCTAGACTGGCATTTCTTTTCAGACAGCATAATCAATTAGTATAATCTCTAATACAGGGCTGGGCAAAATACGGGCCAGGGGCCAGATCCGGACCATGGACCACCCAGCCGGGACCCTCAGGCACACGCAGCTGCCAAGGTTTCATGGCCCCCCCAGCCGGGACCCTCAGGCACACGCAGCTGCCAAGGTTTAAAAGACAGTCCCTGTATTTTTCTGCTCTGCAGGGAGGAAGATGCGGCTTTATGTGATCATCCCGCCCCCCAACCCAATCCTCAGCTCTTAATGGAGAAACAACTGACCAATCCCAGAAACAACTGGCCAATAAGAACCAACCTCAGCCAATCTCTCAGTTCCTATTAACTGGAAACAATCCGGGTATGTCTACACTACCCCGCTAGTTCGAACTAGCTCTTAAACCCTCTCATAAATTAAGACAATGCTGAAACCTTTTGTGTTTGACATAATATTTTATTTAAAACTGAAGCCTGGCCAACAAGCCCCCAAGCCCCCATCTGGCCACAGCATCATAACACACCTGTCCCCCCACTCTGACCCCAAATCTGAGCCTATCATACACTGGAACCCCCTGTCCTCATTCCACGAGGAGTACTTCCAAAACCTGAATCTTCTCCTGCACCCACACCCCCTCTCCGACCCTACACCCCAATCCCCTCCCCTGGTCACAACCCCCTCCTCTACCCAAACACCCTCTCAGATCCAACACTGTCTCCTGCACCCACGTCCCTTACCCCATGCACCCTTCTGCACCCAACCTCCATCCTAAAATCTGCACCCCCTCCACAGAAAAGTGCGGCCCTTGACCACTTACCAAAATTTTTGAGTGCCCCCTACCAAAAATTATTGCCCTAATAATACAGCTTGTATGAGATGTCTGATTTCTTATGATGATCCTCTCATTTGTCTCAGTGACTATTTTAGCTTTAGTCACTTTGCTTAGAAATCAAAACTATTCACTATGGGAGTTACAGTTTTCTTTGGTTAGTTATTTTGCCCAACCAGCAGGAGCTAATGCAAGAAACATTAGTTTCCATGAATTCATTTAATCACTTTTCTTTAAGTGGAAAGGACATATGTGAAATGTGGCTATATCATTGTTTATACAGAGCGAAACCACAAGCTCAGTCCTGAAGAAGGCCCTTAAATTTTGGCAGAATGTATACTTATAGACCACAATAAGATATTTTATTGCAATCTTTTAGGGTAATTATAGTAACGATGCTTGCATTGGCTTCTTATACTTTGACTGACTTCTGATTTTATGAAACTTCTTAAGTATGATATAAATTTCTCTGCCTGTTATTAAGGACTATAACCCTAAGAGAAGGACTGAGGAAGAACATTGTTAATATATATTGTGGCTTTATTTTGCCTGCTCAGAGTAGATTCAGGCTTTCAGAAAATTCACCATGGTAAAAGATTATTGATTTACAACATTTGACTGGAAAGAACTGATTTGCTTTTGTACCAGACAGTCCTGTACAATTGAAGGGGTTCTGTAATACTTTGTTCTTTCGTTATCAGGTTCTGAGGAGTCTCCTGAGCCTCTTCCAATCCCCACTTTACTGGTGGGTTATGACAAGGACTTCCTGACAATCTCTCCATTCACCTTGCCATTCTGGGAGAGGCTGTTGCTAGACCCATATGGGGGTCATCGGGATGTCGCTTACATTGTGCTGTGTCCAGAAAATGAGGCCTTGCTTGACGGAGCCAAAACTTTCTTCAGGGACTTGAGTGCTGTATATGAGGTTGGAAAGAGGGATTGTTATGAATTGTTTAGTCATAATTATCATCCCTATTTTAGCAGCATGTTTACAATTGAGATAAGATAATGACTTTACACTTTTTATTCCTTAAGTGTTCTAAATAATTAGTTACGGAAGTGTTTCTCAAACTGTGGGTCACGACCTCCAGGGAGGTCACGATCAACTTACAGGGGGGTCGCAGCTGGATCCATTATTTTTCTTGAAAAAATTTGTCTCCCCCTGCGAGCTCCGTCCAGTAAAAAAAAACCATGAAATACTGGACGGAAGCCCGGCAGGGACAATTTTCCCCTGCCGCGTCTAGTAGGGGTAGGGGAGTAAGGAGCGCCACAGAGTCTAGTGATGGGGGAGCAGAAGGGGGCAGTTGCCGGGCGCCAGAGCACATGTTGCTCTGGCCAATGTGAGCAGCAGAGACTGGCAGCTGGCTACGTGATGCTTCTCCTACACGCTGTGGGCTGAGGCAGCCCAGCCAGGCTTCAGGCGCAGCCACTTTAAAAGTAAGAGTTTCCTCTGGCTTGGGGGGAGGGCCTGCCTCAGGGGGAGTGCACTGGGATGGGGGAATGCTAGAGGGGCCTGGCTCTCAGGCAAGGGTGAGGCTCTGAGGCATTGGGATGGCGAGATGGGGGGGCCTGCCTCAGGGGGAGGGGTGAGTGCATTGGCGGTTAGTGTGCAGTCCCAAACTGGACAAAGTGGTGTAACTTTGGCTCTCCCCACCCCCTTTTATTTTTTATTTTTATTTTTTTTGCTTAACAACTTTGGTGAGGGTGGGGGGGGGGAGGTCACACAAATTCATTTATCATTTTAGGGGGTTGCGATATCACAAAGTTTGAGAACCCCTGAGTTACGGTATTGTCTTCAGTTTAAGAGGACTTTTTCCTTTTTCAGAATACAGGAAAAATATCATCTAATGGAGCTGCGCTTGTTCCTTTGCATTTTGATTTTGTGTTAGACAAAATTCAACCCTAAGATAGAAGAACCTCAAGAACTGCAGCTATTTAAGTCGAAAGAAACAAGACATATGCAGCTAAAGGCTGAAAATAGATAAGCAGTAGGAACAGTCTAATAGCAAGATGCACTAAGATGTAGAAGTACAAGGAAAAAGGGTAGGCATATAAATCTCCATCTCTGGAGATATTTAAGAGTAGGTGAGATAGACATCTATTGGAGATTGTCTAGATGGTACTGGGTCCTGCCATGAGGGCAGGGGACTGGATTCGATGACCTCTCGAGGTCCCTTCCAGTTCTAGTGTTCTATGATTCTATGAAATACAGGGAAATCTGAAAAAGTAGAGTGGAAGGAAGTATTTGATAGCACTTCTTGAAAATATATCCAGGAGCCCTCTACATATATTGTATCCAGGAGCCTTCTGCAAGCACTATCTATATGACATGTTTCTCACATGTCTGGCAACAAAGCAAGATAGCTACAACTTTTCTGCTCTGTGGCAATGAACAAGGAGTAGCCAAACCAGAGTGATAGGAGTCATGAATGACTCCTGCCAAATAAAATTTTCCTAAAGCGAAGCAACAGAATTTTTGTCACTGTATGGAAGATTGACTCAGTCTGTTGCATACATCAGGAATGACATGAATACAGTTGAAATAAGTGATCCAGGAGCAGCTATACAACTAAGCCCAGTTGTCTAGTCTGCAGATGAAATGTCTTGTTGCTGAAAAGATACAGAGATTCAAAGGCCCTGTGTATGGGATTTCCAAAAGCATTCTACACTGGCCTAAACCAACACTGGTCACTTTTGAAAATACCATCTATATGTCAAAGGTCAAGGTCCCAGCCACAGATATTTCACTTTGTTTATATAGGGCATATTCACACAATCTGCCTTCTCTGTCTCACTCTTTTGTAGCAAGCCCTGAGCAAGTGTAAATCTAGAGCAAGTTCAATCTAGAGCAAGTGTAAATCTCACGAACAATACTAAAACAAGTATTAAACTAAAGAAGTTGGTATTAATTACAATTCCTTAGAAATACTTCACTAGAAAATCAAACAGCTCCCATCCTAGGAAGAAATTTAACATTTTCTTTGCAGGCTACAGCAGATGCATCCCCTAAAAACCCATGAGAAAAAATACTCCTCCAAATAGTTCTACTTTATTACATTATCAGAAACGAATGCGAGCATTCAGGTATGTTATTCTTCAGGTACTTGCTTGTGTCCATTCCATGTAAGTGTGGGTGCTTTAATTAGTATGAGGCAGGCTTCCCTAATGTAGCCATGCTATCTCAATTTAGAGCCTCAGGAGGCACTGGGGAGGAATAACGGAATGGCCCTGGTGAGGGCTATTTCAAAATTGCAGCAGTGGAGCGTCTACACACGCCTTATTTTGAAATAGCTATTTCAGAGTAGGCATTATTCTTTGTAAAATGAGGTTTACAGATTTCGAAATAAGCCATCCGTTATTTTTAAATTATTTCAAAATAACGGAATGGCTGTGTAAATGCTCGTATTGTTATTTCAAAACAATGCTTCTTATGTCGAAATAACGGTGCAGTGTAGACACAACTAAAGGACAAAGTCATCTGTATCAAGGCTTTACTTATGGAGTCTGCCTCACTCCCCAGAATCGGCACTCAGACTTAGCATCAAGCATGCGTTCACTGCTTCCTTGGTACTGTTGACCAGCCAGCACCAGGTACCTTCTAGGAATGTGAAAATGTGTTTATGCAGGTAAATGTGTAGCCGCTGAGAATATCAGCAATTACCCATTTACACGTGGAGGGGGAAGAGTAGATGGGAGATATCAAAAGCAGCAGCAGAGTGAGGGGAGGTACGCATCTTCCTGAGAGCTGTGGGGAGCCAGTTTAAAAGCTGGTTCCTGCACACACCAGCTCCCACCTGTTCCTCCCCCTCTCTGTGCTGTGCGGGGGAGGGCTGTGTGTAACTGTGAAGGTAACTGAGAAGCCCAGTCTCATCAGTTAACCGTTTACACTTTCACGTCCTTAGTATCTTCAGTGGTCCCAGAGAAGGGGGCCAAGAAGATGGGCAAAGATAAGTCTGAGAAGAGAACCCAAAACAAGTGGGGGAGCATGGGAAGGACACTGGCCCAGGTAGAGTGGAGTTGTAGTCCTCGCATCCTGTCACCCTTTCCAAGCATCCAGGTCCCTTCTACCCTGGAGGCGTTCCAGGCAGCCCAGGACATCATCTCCATGCCATTACTGCCAATGCCTGCGGTGAATGGGCCTCATCATCTTGAGAAGCCCCCATTTCCTGCCCTGTTGTTGAGTACCCAGCAGTCTTGCTCTCCCATTCTGTTGGTTAGGAGAGACCAGGGCCGGACGTTCTAGCCTAAGCGTCACCAGAGGCTGAACGTAGACCTTTGGAGTTGTGCACTTCCCAACAGCCAAGACACATAAGAGCCAGCTACTCAGCATGTACGAGTCGCCAATCAAAGGACATATCTCTGCATGAGCAGCACTGCTCCCCGTGCCCGACACAAGCGTAGAGTCTCTAGGCCTCAACTGACATCCCCACACTGGGCATCATCTTCCGATGCTGGTCCCCCATACTCCAAAGTAGGTCAAGAGACTGTCATTGGTCCCCTGCCCACTGGCATGGTTGCATCCCACAGTCTCCAAGGACAGCATCCTTTGAGAGCTCCTGGCACCAGAGAGACCTAAGTGCCCACTCTCCATCCTGGGCATCAGCCAGTGTCAGATCAGCCAGCACCCCATCGGAGCCCTGCTCCCTCCCTTCAGTGCAGACATTGGCTCTGCAGGCAGCCTTGCAGCCAGCACAGTGGCCTCTAGCATGGTAGTCTTTGCAGTGATGCTCCTGGACTTCTTGGGGTTTTCCTATACAGCCACAAGTTACCCACTTGCTAATTAGGGCATCCTCCAAAACCAGAGTCAGTTAGGCCAACCATCTCTCTGGTCAAAGGGGAGAGGGAGGATCTACCTCCAACACCAGAGGACAGGTAGTTGGCCCAGATATCCATATCCCCAAATGAGGCCATTGGGACACCCGCCCCTCCAGGAGTTCCACAAAGCAACACCAGGGCCCACCAGAACTTTTTAAAGTGGGCTTTTCCAATTCCTCCACTTGGAGGTCCACAGACACCCTGCTATGGCTAAGGTCACCTTGTCCCTGCTTGAAGGAGTAACCACTGTGCTGTGGCAGACACCTTCCTCCCTACTTCTGATTTCTAAAAGGTCAGATTGCAAATACTTCGTTCCACCCACAGAGCATGAGTATTTGTATACACAATCACCATCCTGGTGGAAACACTCAAACACCAAAAGAGACAAGTCCAGCCCACCCTTACTGAGGAACAAAGACTCCAAATGCCTTGATTTATTTGAATGTAAACTTATTCCTCTGTGAGCTTCTAGCTGCATGTGGCAAACCATTGCCCATTATATAATCATAGAATAGTAGAACGGGAAGGGACTTTGAGAGATCATCATGTCCAGTCCCCTGCCCTCAGGGCAGGACTAGACACCATCATTTGTTTAACTTATTCTTAAAAATCTTCAAATAATGGAAATTCCACAATCTCCTTGGGCAATTTATTCCAGTGTTTAACCACCTTGACAGGAAGTTTTTCCTAATTTCCAATCTAAACCTCCCTTGCTGCAATTTAAGCCAATTGCTCCTTGTCCCTATCATCAGAAGTTAAGAAGAATAATTTTTCTTCCTAATTGTAACAAACTTTTAGATACTTGAAAATGTAGTTTAGTCTTTTTCAGACTAAACAAGCCCAGTTCTTTGTCTTCCATTCTAGGTCATTTTCTAGACCTTTAACTGTTTCTTTTGCTCTTCTCTGGACCTTCTCCAGTTTCTCCACATCTTTCCTTAAATGTGATGCCTAGAACTGGATTCAGTAGTCCAACTGAGGCCTAATCAGTGCAAAATAGAATGAAAGAATTACAACTTGTGTCTTGCTTACAACACTCTTGTTAATGCATTCCAGAATCATGCTTGCTATTTTTGCAACACAGATTACTTATATTTAGTTTGTGGTCCACTG